TAAGGTTGGAAGCCTAAGTTGAAAGAGTTGACCGGATGTTGGCTTATGTATAAATGACACCGGAATGGAGTTTTGATGGTTTTGATAGCTCCGTTGATTTCATACTTAGGAGTGTGTCTGGATATTTATTTGGAGGTCCGTAGATGATTTTGGCTTGAATTGGCGAAAGTTGGAAAAATAGAAGTTTGGAGAGTTATGAAGTTTGACCGAGAGTTGACTCTGTGGGTACCGGTCTCAAATTTTGGTTCCAGAAGTTGGAATAGGTCCGTGGTATCATTTATAACTTGTGTTCAAAATTTGAGGTCAATCGGAGTTGATTTGATAGGTTACGGTATCGATTGTACGAGTTGGAAATTCATTAGTTTCATTAGGCTTGAATTGGGGTGCGGTTCATATTTTTGATGTAGTTTGATGTGATTTGAGACTTCGATTAAGTTTATATGATGCTTTAGAACTTGTTTTCATATTTGGTTGAGGTCCCGGGGGCCTCGGGTGAGTTTCGGGTTGATTGCGGATTGAATTTAGCCTTGTAGAGCTGTAGATTTTCTGGTTTCTGGTGTTCTTATACGCGTTCGTGAAGAGCACCTGGGAGGGAAGTGAAGTTTGTTCTTCCCGTTTGCAACCACGCGTTCGCGAAGGTTCAGTGTGTTTGTGCACCGCGATCGCGAGAAGCTAGACACGAGAAGCGAAGAAGAAAGGCAGGTTGGGGGACCTCACGCGTTTGGTCTACGCGTTCGCGATGGACGCTTCGCATTCACGAAGCTTTGGATCATTTGGTCATCACGTTCGTGAGTGAGCCTTCGCTTTTGCGTAAGAGGATTTCTGGGCAGCTGAGTTTTGTGATTCGCGAACGCGAGGCACTTTCCGCATTCGCAAAGGAGGACGTCTCGACAGAATATAAGATTTCAAAACGAGTGTTAGAGTAAAATTTCATAACTGGACTTTGGGAGCTCGGATTGAGGCGATTATTGGAGGGATTTTCAAGGAATTGATTGGGGTAAGTGATTCTAACTCGGATTTGGTTAATATACATGCATATATCATTGTTTTTATCATTTCATTAGTGTTTTGGAGTGGAAAAATTGGAGAAAATTGTAGAAACTTATAGGCTTTAATTTGAGGATTTGGAGGTCGAGTTGTGATCGGATTTGAGTAATTTTGGTATGGTTGAACTCGTGGTTGAATGGGTGTTCGGATTTTGTTAATTTTATCGGACCCCGAGACGTGGTCCTAGGGTTCACTTTTGAGTTGACTTTTTGACTTTTGTTAAAGAACTTAGCTTTTTCATATGGAATTGATTCCTATAGCTTGAGTTGATTGTATCGAGTTGTTGTGGCTAGATTCGAGGTGTTCTGAGGCCGATTCGCGAGGCAAGGCCTTATTGGAGTAGAGATTTGCGCGATTTGAGGTAAGTAACACTTATAAATTTGGTTCTGAGGATATGAATCCCTAAATTACGTGTTATGTGGCAGGTGTTGAGGTGACGCACATGCTAAAGCATGTGGGCGTGCACCGTAGTAATTGTGATTCGTTCGATTCCGTGGTACTGTGTAGTTATCAAACCTTGTTGATATTCATGTGGTCTCAATGCATTAGAGTAGTTCAGCTGCAATCCATGTTAGAAATCATGTTTAGGTTGTATGCTTATCCTATTGAGACTCAATGGTTTCATTTCTGTTGTTGAATTATTTGCTTAGATGGCAATTTATACTCAGTCACATCGATCATTTGCATATCATATCTCAGTTTCTGTTACTATTATTGTTGTGTTATATATTGTTGTTTAGGCTGATTGGCAGGAGATTTGTGAGCCCGGGAGACTGGAGAGATTGATAACTGAGTTGGGGCCTGAGAGCCGTGTTGTGAGTGAGATTCTGGATCGGGCTGCACGCCGCACCAGGCCTTTTAGGCTTTACTATCATGGGATCGGGCTGCACACTGCAGCAGGCCAGATTGGCTTTATATTAGCGCTTGGGAAGGATTCTTCCTTCCGGAGTCTGACATACCAATAGTGAGCGCTTGTATCGTATAATGATGAGTGACTGAGTGTGATGAGCGAGAATTAAGACAGTCAGATTGAGTACTCTGAGAGTGTGAGTACGTGAGGTTTTCATTATGTTGCATCACATGTGACATGCACATTGACATGTCGATATAGAGATGTAACATTACTCATATTGGCATAATTTATTTGTATTGAGCTTAACTGTTAAACCTGAAAGCATGTCTACATTTCCTGTATTGTGTACCGATAGATTATGAGTTTCTCCGAGATATTATTATCATATTTTCCTGTCATTTCTGTACTTTTAAATTCTGTATTTGGACTATATTGGTTGAGCTCGTCACTGCTTTCAGCCCAAGGTTAGTTTTGTTACTTATTGATGGTTCGATTGTACTCATACTACACTCTGCACGTCATGAGGAGATCCATGTACTTACGAGCACGAAGGTTGCTAATGTTGGAGCTTACTCAGTCCAGAGACTATCGAGGTAGCTGCCTTGGCGTCCGCATACCTTGAATCTCCTCCTTTTTCTTTTAGCTTTATTTATATTGTTTTACCTTCCTAGATAGTGTTTCAGCAATCAGACCATGTTATTGTATAAATGCTCATGTACTCAGTGACACCAGGATTTTGGGAATTCCGTATGGAGTTGCGATATTTTCTTCTAGTTATTATGAGATTTTATTTACTTAAACCTATTTCAATATGTTTTAAATCAAAGATGCATGTATTTGTGAGATGTCGGCTTGCCCAATATCGCGATAGGCACCATCACGACATTAGTGATTTGGGTCGTGACAAAGCCTTACCGTCCAAACAACCAATCAAATTTGGTTTTAGAAATTCAGATTTTCCTTTTTTAAATCAGATTTGGCTTTTGCAATTGCACAACTTGTTACGCCTAACATTGCCACTCTTTCCTCCATCACATTTTTTTCTTTTTCTTTTTTCTTTTATTTTATTACGTAGGTCCCACAAAAAAACCGCAAAAAATGAAGAAAATGACATTAATTATTGAGTTTGCTTTTTTCCTTTTCCAGTTCCTTTGATCCCCTACGGGTCCGTGGCGTTTTGTTAAATGATTCTCCTGTTACCAAAATAGCATATTGTCATTGGATTAGTGTTCGAGCACACACTCTGGTATCGCCCTTGTTCCATCTCATTTTGACTGTAATCTACTTATGTTGGCAGGACATGGCCAAGGAACAAGAAGAAGTAATGGTGTCTAACATACTAAATGTGTAATGTGTTTAAGGTGATTTACATTACTATGACTTTGACCTTGGTAGTTTATCATCGAAGGCTCAAGTTTGATATAAAATAGTTCGAAGACAACAATGACAGTTCATTTGGAGATTTCTATATTTTTCTTGTTATCACATAGCCAAAATTTTCAGAAATGGGGTTGCTCTCATATGTCTTAGAGAGCGATGGTACTTTTGCTTCTTAATGATATATTGTTGAGTGGTCAAGTGAATCTATCCATGTAATGTTAAATTGTTAATCGCGTAATTGTACTCGGATTCATTGTTGGCTAATGAATCATTTACATGTGATTGGTTAATGCAATGCAATGAAAGCAACATATGTACATAAAAAAGATTGGTTTTCATGTTAGTGATACTTATAAAAGTGGGCCAATTACTCAGTCATGTAACCTATTAGTCTTGACCTGCTATGTAAGTTGCAAGTCCTGATATGTGATATACGGCTTAAAGTGTGTATATTTATAGGCGTGTCGCCTCATGTTTTACTCTTATTTTGTAGAATTTGGATGTGTAATGTAATGATTTGTTCTAATTCGCGGTATCTTTATGTGTAGGAATCACCCGGAGGCAATATGGGACGAAAGTGCGCGAAAAGAGAAAAAAAGAAGAAAATGGGGCAGTGTAGCGCCCAGTGCTGCCTGGAGGACAACTTTCGGAAGCAAAAAATTTCCAACGCCAGGGCTAGAGCCCCGCGCAACCTTGGGCGCTGGGTGACGGAAACCTATCCCACTTCGCCTGGGACAAGGTTATTTCGGTCTTACACACCCCCAACTCGTATAAAAAAAAGTCTAAACCTATTTTGGAGGTAGAGCCGCCACTTTGAGAGGAAAACACAAGCGCGGAATACTCGGGAGAAAGGATTCTTAGTTTTTCTTCATCTTTCTTAGTATCTTCAACTATTCAAACACTTGTGAAATTGTTTAACCTTATCATGAGTGGCTAAAATCCATAAGTTCTGGGGTTGTGATTTAGCCATGAATATTGTTGTTAGAAGTTGACTTGACCTTGATTATAATTCGTTAATATATGGTTGTTTCTTCAATTTTATGATTAATTGCTTAATTGTCTGGCCAACAGTTAGGTTCTATTTACTATCTATGCTATGCTTGGGAAAGCTACGTCTAGATTAGAGAAGAATTGAAGATGGCATGATCTTAACTCTGAGTGGGGGCGGATTTATAGTTAGGATAGGATATATGCCTAGTCACCATGCTCAATTTGAATATCGTAATCTTAATGCGTTCTTAATAGATTGATTTCATAGGAATATAGGCATTAATCTATTTTGAATAGGCGAGTAGTAATTCGGGAGATTACTATGAGAGCAGTTACTCGATTATAGCACAATAGGATTGGCAAATCGATCACAGTCCTGGAATGCTATCTCTACTGAATACACAATAACCATTTTCTGCTTGATTCATTAGTTACTTGTTATATTCATTGCTTAGTATAATCACATTTTTAAATTCTGATTGACTCGACTGAATAACAATCTTGGTGAAATTAGTGGGTAATTGATACAAGTCTCTATGGGTTCGACACTCGACTTATCATTTTATTATTTATCGACCACGTATACTTGTGTGTGCGTGGGGTAGCAACGATAGGCACAGTTATTGCCTTTCTTTTGTATACATTTGGTGCATCAGTGAATGTGATAGGTTTGTTTTATGTTTAGATACAATTCTCCTTATGCCTGGCCACTCTATTGTAAGTTATATTTGTTGTGTCATAGAATCGGCTGGTGACACCCTGATAGGATAAATATATATATTCCCAAACCTGGTACTATATATGTATTATTTAAGTCGAAAGCAATGAGTGCAGATGCATCTACTAGAATAAAATCTATATTGAACGATGTATCAGAAGCCAATAAGACAGAGCTAGGTCCACTGAATCTCCTCTTTGGCTTTAAGGAGACTTGAATTATTGTTGTCATCGTTAATATGTTGCATATTCCCAACTGCAAGAAAAGAATTGGATGCACCATTTGGCAGTAAGTGATGGTTACTCAAATGAAAGTCATCAAGAGGAGGCTCGTTTAATCTTGCAGGAAAACTCATTCGCGATGGCAATGGCAATGGCAATGGAAAATTCGGAAGCTGCAAGGAACAAGCTCCAAAACTCAAGTCTCCGAGGTAACTTCCAACAAAACTTGGCCTTAAATATTCACTTCCAACGAAAGGTTTTCGTTCGAATGGAAATGGAAGATCTTGAACTTGCACTCTGCAATTTGAACCTTTGGGACCTTTTCGAGATGTCATGCAATTAGTTTGCCCGTTCAACGTGGATGCTGACTGAATGTGTCCGGGAACACCATTTGTCTTGTTTGTTGAAGGCACTTCATGGTTGTGTTTCCCCTCATATGTTGTGATTACTGATTTTAAGTTATCTGAAGCCCTTTCCACATGCTTCCTCACTATGCATCCAGCATTGGTACATTTATAGTAGCTCCTACACAGGACACAGGAAACATTTCTTTATAAATTTCAACTGAGTTAAGAGGCAGCCCGGTGTACTAAGGGAAGGGCCGGACCACAAGAGTCTATTGTACGCAGTCATACGCTGTATTTCTGCAAGAGGCTGTTTTCACGGCTCGAATTCATGACCTCTTGGTCACATGGCAGCAACTTTACCAGTTACGCCAAGGTTCCCCACCAAAGAGTTAAGAGAATAGAATCAAAAGAAAGTTGTTAAGGGAACTACAACTATGCATTTTACATGTTATCCTATAAATAGATACCTGGGGTTTGGGTTCCCTTTGACAACTTTTTGGCCATATTTTCTCCAGCGATAGCCATCTTCAAGAATATCGATCTCACTCTCTACCTGGAGGACTACTTTTGGTTCTCTCACTGTTCTTGATAATAAACTTGGTTCAGCTGAATAACTTTCTTTCTTCCTGAAGTCAAGAGTAATTCCACAACTTAAATAAATGTGTAGGAACACCATTAGTATTGTAAACACTCACACAATAACCCTCCTCGAAAAGTTTTTTACACTACTATTAGCATATTTTAACATGTTGTGGCTAGTACTTGCCTTATTTTCTAGGTTACTCATCCCTTTTTTTCATGGACAGTTGCCTATAGTTATATTTTAGACGGTCTGATAATATGAAACTCTTTTTACACTATCAATGTATAGAGGTTAAACTCATTTCAAAAATAGATAACGCGAAAGAAGAAAAGTGGGAGGATACCTTCTTTTTGGCTCTAATTCATACTCATTGACATCGTCACCAAGGAAAGTACCTTCTTGAGTGGCCCAATCTCCATCGTCGCCATCATAACTAGTAAGTGTAGAAGAAAGCTCAGGAGTTCCAGCTGATTCAAACACATTCATGGATTTTGGATTGGTTGACATTGGATCAGATACTTCAGTCAAGACAGATGCAGAGGATGTTCTTTTTAGACCATTAGCATTGTAACTTGTAACATTCTTATTACACTCAAATTGCTGATATCTCCAAACTGATGCATTTTCTTGGCCTATTTCCTCCACGTCCCTAACAACAAAAGAATTATCCATACTTGGTCGTTGAATAGATTGAGTTTTCGGGTGATTATGAGCACCATTGTAGACAATTTCTATAACCTGTCCATTTGGTGCACACTCTACTTTTTTCCTAACAGGACAACTTTGCTGAGTACATTTATAGTAACTTCTTGGAAAATTACTCCCTTTTACGCGCTTTTGTCCGTATTTTCTCCATGTGAATCCATCATCTGAACTGCTAGGACTAATGCTAGAACTGAAAAAACCAAATTGGTTTTCTTTCTTGGTAAATTCTTCTTGCTGAGAGATTTGCTTATTTGTTAACTCAATGTTGTTCAAAGTTTGTTGTACATTTGTTTCAGTAGGTGCCTGCAATTGAGGGGAATACAATACTTACATACCAATTCATATATATATACCACGCCAAAGTTCCATGCAGTAAGTACACATTGCATCATATCAATGAGAGAGTTGATTATAAGTAACATTGAAAACCTAGACCATTTTTAATAGGAAAGAACAAAATCAGACTGGATTAAGATAGTCGATCCATTTAAAGAAGGTGCAATTGTTTTGTCGTATTGGATTGGAATAAGGACGAGAGTGGTCACGTATAGTAGCAAAGCCAGAAAATTCGCTAAGGGTGTCGAGGTTTAATTATATATATATATATATATATATATATATATATATATATATATATATATATATATATATATATATATATATATATATGTGTGTGTGTGTGTAAATGTAATATTTTATTTCAAAAGACAAGACTTATCTCATGAAAACTCTCATTGTTGGGGGGGTGGGGGGGGGGGGGGGGAGAGGGGTAGCATAAGATTACTCAAAAAGCACATTAAAAAAGTTTTAGTAATAAATTTTCTAGAACATCATATTGTTGAAGAAGCACAATGTTAAATTGCTCAGACTACTTTCAAACAAATATTCTTACAACTATATGATGTTGACTAGCATGCATGCATAATTTCTTTTCCTTTTTTCTTTCTTTCAGGAGTATTCATGTACAAGGAACTTAATTAGTTCTATTGTCCATTTCATTTTTGTTTTGGCTTAACTAATTGCCAATTTTCGAAAAGGAAAAAAAATTCTAATTTCCCATTTGAATTTAACGAACATCAACAATGTCCATGCAACTTTCAACGGCTCATATGCTATCCATAAAAAAATTCAAATACTCACATTAAGAGTTTCAATTAATTTAAAAAAAAAAAAACCAATACCACTGAATTTGGAAACGTCACCGGAGAATCAAGCAATGCTGCTGGACTAATGCCGGGAGGTATCGTTAGGACAGCCGGCCGACACGGTGGTGACGACATGGCTACAGGTAAACCAAGCTAGCAACTTTCTGAAAGTAACGTTCAATAATAACTGCGCTTCAATCCCAAAAAAAATAATTAAGAGTTTATCCACAATACAGGTTCCAAGCTCAGATAAAAGAGAAGTGTATTAATAGATTGATAGCAGCACAAAACTAGTTAATTTATATTCATTCTCACAATACATGATACATTTCAAAAGAAAAGACTGAAATACAAAAAAAAATGCAAAATATTATCTCCAAAATACCCGAATAATGTTAAATAATTTCTTAGGTACCTTAATTTGTTGTATGAACTCATTGCCTTGAAACCACATTTGGCTGCCTAGCATTCAACAATGCTAGGCTTATCATTTCTCCCTCAAACAATTAATTAAGAGGAATTGAACTTTCACTAATCATTTATTCACTTCCCACCTTTAACTAAGAGTAGTTTCTTGAGTCTCAAAACTCAAGCTTTGGTTGGAGTCTAAATTGCCAATAATTCATGTAGAGTGAGTGAAAGTGGAATATTTTTGCGTTTAATGTAAAGGAAAAACTATACTAGGTATGAGTTTTTAAGTATTTGGTTAGCATAAAAATAGGAAACGTCTTTGGTTAGCCGAGAAAAGTGAGAAGGAAGGTTTTAGAAGGTTGCGTAATATAGGACCATATGGCCACGTTTTAGTATCTACTCCTTTCTTATCTTAAAAATAAAAATAAAAATTAAGTTAGGTATTTCACTGCGATCTACAAGTAGTTATCTAAAGTAAAGGTAAATAAGGATAACAGATCGATAAAGTCGCTAGTTGTTATATAAGATTATATTTGTCGATTCTTGGTTTAGATGTAGTTAGCGAAACGGTTAAGTTTTGCTATTCCCATAAGTGATCTAAATCAGCGGCTACGATTGTTTAGGTTAAGAATAAACTAGCTTAAGGATTTTGGCAGGGAACTCGTAGGAAAAGGAACGACCCACCGACTTCACATTAGAGTAATTAGATTCAAAAGAGTTCCAATGATTTTCTATATCTTGAAAAAAAAAAAACAAGGGATCATTTATTTATAGAATTTCAAGGAGTCATGTATATAACATCTTTAGTTTTATATGGATCAAGCCTATAGTTAGCAAATTTCCTTTAACGTCAAAATCATACTTCATCACTAGCTTATTATTTTTGCGTTACGAGATGATAGGTTATGTGCCTTGTTATGTTTTGATGATCTAACAAACTTAATGATAAGAACCGAATAGTAAACCTGTTACACATCCTCAAAGTGCTCAAGAACAACAAGTCTCAAGTCAGGCACAAGTTCCAATAATCAGAGTCAAAGAGACGACAAAGGGAACAGTTCCCTTGTTGACTGTACCAGTCAACTCCCCACGGTTGTAAAGTCGCTGCAACTATTCCTCTGCACACACGCAACAGTGCAAACAGTGCAACAGTCACTTTATGGGGAAAACCTTGTACCAGACATTTGCTTGCATCATACAAGTGATATCACTTGGGTAATATTAACATGAAACAAAGGAAAAACACACAGTTGCACATCCGAGAATTAATCAAGTTTCCTCTCAAGTGTGTTGTCATCTTGCAAGTGACTTCCAGGGCTTCAAGAACAAAGAACAACATAACGAAGGACCAGTTTCCTGCATTGTGTTATTATATGTCCTTAATTGTGTTGCGCCTTTGTTAAAGTGATTTACTTATAATTCCTACTTAGCTTAGCTAGAAGCATTGTGTAGGAAACCTTTTGTAAAACCATAAACCTTGTGTTTATGTCTTGTAGAGTTAGTTGAGTTGTGAGCTTTGTAATAGAGTTTTTACAAAGAGGCTTGTAATAGAGTTGTTACAAGTGAGTGAGGAATTAAGTTTAATTTCTAGGTTACAATAGGTTGTAATCTAAAGTTGCTTGGTTAGTGAAGTTGAAATCCTACGAATGTAGGATGTGATTTTAAATCCCGTGAGCTGGGAGTTTTCCACGTAAAACTCTATTGTGTCATTTATTTATCTCTTATTGTGTGTGCTCTGTGGGAACTGATAAAGAATCCGGTTCTCTATACAGTTTGGTGGACCCTAAATTTCTATCAATTGGTAGCAAAGCAGGTTCTTTCTATCAGGCTAACACCTAGAAAGGATCCTTATAGCTGCTCCACCAAACTTTTGAAGAAGGTCAATCTACCTACAGACCACCAAGATTCATTAGCCAATACTACGGATGGTGGAAGACAAGGATGCATGATTTTATCATGCCTGAAGATTCAGAGCTCTGGGATGTTATCTGTGATGGACCCTTCGTTCCTATGAAGATCACTGGCGGAACAGCAGTGGCAGTTCCCAAGACAAGGAAGGAGTACAACGATGTTGACCGCAAAGCTATAGAGAAGAACTTTCGAGCAAAAAAGATCGTTGTCCGTGGTATTGGACCATACGAATATAACAGGATCTCTGCTTGTCAATATGCCAAAGAGATCTGGGAAGCTCTTCAGACATCACATGAAGGAACAACTCAAGTCAATCAGTCGAAGATTGATATGCTCACCACTGAGTATGAACTCTTCAGGATGAAGGATGATGAGTCCATTCAGGACATGCACACTCGATTCACCTCTATCATCAACGAGCTCCATTCTCTGGGAGAGATCATTCCAAGGAACAAACTTGTCAGAAAAATACTCAGTGTATTACCTGGTTCCTGGGAAAGCAAAGTAAATGTTATCATGGAGGCAAAGGATCTGCAAAAGGTGACCATTGATGAACTCATTGGTAATTTGAAGACTTATGAAATGAAGAAGAAGAAGGACCATGAAAGAAGAGAGCCCAAAAAGAAGAAGAACCTGGTCCTCAAGACAGACAATAATGACTCAAGTGGTGAGGATGCTGATATGGCTTACCTGACAAAGCGATTTCAGAAAATAGTTCGCAGGAATGGAGGTATTCCAAAAAGGGGCAGCTCCAGCAAGCCAAGAGGGTATGACTTATGTCATAAATGTGGGAAGCCAGGACATTTCATCAAGGACTATGCTCTCCTCAAGCAAGACCAGTACAAGCACAACACAAACAAAGCAGACAAGAGGAACCCGATGTTAGGTTTTAGTTTTAATGATGAAAAATAATATATTTGCTTTTGGTGTAGGGACTCAAGGGATTGAAGTGCATAAAGAGAAATAATCAAAGATGAATGGAGAAATCAATCAACGATTGATTGAAGCATCTAAAAGGAAAACAAGCAGATTGATTCAAGCATCTAAAAGGAAAAGAAGCGCTAAGAATCCGGCGAGGAAATCAATCAGAGATTGTCTGAAGAGTTAAAAAGGAAACGAAGCATTGAAGATGGAAAGACCCAGATTTAAGTAGCAAATCCGGCGCTATCAAGGCTTGAAGATGGAAAGCTGTCAATGTCCATATATCAAGGAAGAGTAACGAAATTTACCTTATTCTTGGAAAGAATCAATCTCTTTCCAAGGATCAAATCTCTTGGGTTGGCAAATCTCTTTAGTAACGGTCATATACTAAGTATTTATACACATCCTTAGAACTTGGAGATTTATACTTTGATCGAACCAATTACCCTCTCTTTGTTCTACTGCAAACAACATTGTAGCTCTTCTGGATCTGCTGTGTAACAAGCTAGAGAAGAAAGAGAGAAAAACACTAGTGATGCATTGTATCAAGAAAAGACGAGTGAAATAGAAACTGAGCAGTTGGTGTAATCTACACCATTCACTTTATACTCAAGAAACTCAATCACTGAAAGAGAACTCCCTTGCAACCCAAGGGGACTAAACTAGGATTCACATTGAATCCGAACCAGTATAAAAACTCTGGTGTCTTTAATTCCTACACTTTACTTTTGCATTTTAATTCTGCGTTTCTTAATACCTCGCTGTTACATCTAGTCGACTAATTGGAAAACTAGTCAACTTATAATAATTAATTTTAAAAATTGGCAATTCACCCCCTCTTGTACTTTCAATTGGTATCAGAACAAGGCTCACATTGTTTCTTTTGCTTAACAGCTTGTGAGAAAAGATCATGGCAAATCAAGTTATTATCGAAGCACTCTTCCAAGAAGTAACATCGCAAGTGAGACCACCATATTTCAATGGACAACATTTCTCTCACTAGAAAGTGCGTATGGTGATATACGCAAAGGCCTGTGATGTCAAAGTCTGGAGAGTTATCAAAAAGGGGAACTACCCTCTGCCGACCGCCGCTTAACTACCTGTCCACGCCCCCTTTTCCTCGCGAAATCGGGTTTACGATATTTGGGAAGACAACTCTATTCCCGTTTGGGATTTGGATTTTTGGATTTGAAGAGTCGCCGCCTAATGATTAAGTGCATTAGGACACTAAGGGTTTTTTTTTTGTTGGAAAACCAGAGTTCGGGTAAGGGCTAGAAATTATCTCGAGGGGAAGGTGTTAGTCACCCCTCAAGATCCACTAGTGTGGTATTCCGCATAAAGACTGCAAGTAGGTGTATATAACTATTAACAAGCATGCTGAAATTAAGGACTAGGCGATCTCATAATTGTTTAAGAGAATGTATAAATGCAGGAAAGTAAACAAAGAAGTGAATGAGAAGAATTTTTCAGAGGAAGAGAATAGTGCAGGAAATTAAAGAGGAATTTGGTGACTGAAACGAAAGCCAGATTTTCATTGATAAAATAATAACGAAGTTACGTAAGGAAAGGGGGTCCTAGGTTTTGTAATATACATGGATCATCCACGCAACAACGGTAGCGAATCGTACGCATGGTGTTATCGCGTGATCATCATCTCCATGTCTACCCTTCCCCACCCTGTTAAGGTATTAAACGCGAAATGGTCTCGTTTTACCTATTGCATGCTATTATCCGCCCCTATCCTATCAGTCCCGGAGGCACTTAGGACTATTAATCCTAAAGGGTAGGATATTAGGCTGATTGGTTTCAAAGGACAAAAATCTAAGGTGACATACAAAAATACATACAACATGTTGGGGGGGAGAGCATATAAACATGTAAAGGCCCAAGTACACCTCCTCAAACAAAACACATAAGTAGCATAACTTAAACATTATTAAGGTCTCAAAAGGATAGGGACTTTTACAGCGGTTAAAACTTGGTTTTAGAGAAAAAAAAATAACAATAATAGCACGATTCTGGGCAGAGATAGATAAACCAGGGATTTGCAGACACAAAAATCAGAACTCAGTAAAACTAAATTGGCGCATCATTTCAGAATCATTTTTTTAGCAGAGTTTGTTTCAAGGAAAAGCTGAGTAAACTTCAGAAAATCAAAACAAGAATAGGAACGGCAGAGTTTAAACTTAAGGAAGTTGGTGAGTTTTAGGCTAATAGACACACAACTGATCATTTTTTAACGGGCCTAAGGTTTGCCTAGGCGTCGTTATACATTATCTGATTATTTACAAAGGAATGGACACACCTATTTGATTCTAATTTATAAAGGTACGCGTCGTATGGTGTTTGCAGAAAAATATTTCAAACTACTTAGCCATATTTTAACACGGTTATTGGA